TCTCTCTCTCTCTCTCTCTCTCTCTCTCTCTCTCTCTCTCTCTGTCTGTCTGTCTGTCTGTCTTAAGAAAAGCCTCTTTTTGGGAGGCAGAGTGGAAACTTTTCTACCTGGGAAACGAACGGGGCATTGACAGAGCAGCTCAGTCTGTCTAGTAAAACACTGATGCAGATGCAAGATTGCTCACTGAGCTAACAGTTACATCCTTCAGTGAGAACTCTGGAATTTAATTTGAAGAAATAAGCAACCACCTTTAAATTCCAAAATGTCCAATGTATAAAGAGAGGGGAAAAAAGGCTTAAAGTTTTAAATTACTAGTAGGTGGATTCCAGCTGAAAATCAGCGGAAACGCCTCAACAAAAAGAGCATTTTGTCTGTGAAACCAAATACAGAGGTGTGGAGAGGCTGGATTTCCTGTGCTGAGCTGGTGCTGGGACCGCTGGCAACACTTGTGTCGCCTGGCAGTCTCAGGTCAGCAACTGACAACCTTGACCCACCCTGGTGCTGTGTGCTTCACAATCAGTGGCCAAAGTCACAGCAGAAGTGTGAGGGATTGCAGGTTAGCCAATCCCATGCCCTAAAACCTCACAGTGGTTGATGGCAAAGCCAGATCCTGCATTTAGCATTTAGCTGGGTGAAGACATTTATTTATCTATTTGTTTGTTTAATTAATTTATTTGCCGTCCATCTTACCAAGAGGCCACTCTAGGTGACCTACAACCAAGAAAAACGGGGAGTCCCTAGGCTGAGAGCAGGTGCTCCCCAACTAATCTAGAGCTCAGTTCGGGGGGGGGGGCAATACCCAGGTTCACTTACTTTGGAAGATGACACGCAAGTCCAGTGGTAATATAGCGGTGTCTGTTCCCAGTCTTCCCAGTTAGGGTCATAGGATTTCTCGCCATCCAAGATCAAGTCCCTGGTGCTGGACCACACCCGGTACGATCCTCCATCAATGATGGGTACCAGTTTATTGGGCAAAACTGTCACATTGGCAAAAATGCTTTTGGACAGAGGTGTATCACCGAAAGAGACTAAGAATTTGAAGCAGTAGTTGCCAAGATCCAGGGTAAGCCTGGGGATGACCAACTGTGGCCGGCTCACATCCACACTGACCAACTGGACTTTGGCGAAAGCATCCCGTTGTAGGCAGCTCGGGGCTTTGTAGATCTCCCAGACATAGGCAGTCTGGTACCTGGTGCAGCCTCGCAAGTCAATCTGGGCCTCCAGATAATTCTTCTGGGATCGTTTCATAAACACCTGAGCAGGTAAAGCAAGCTCTGCTTCTGGCTCCTCACACTCCAGGATTCGGACTGTGACCGTGCGGTGGGCAATGGAGAAGCTGATGAGGTTGGTGGCATTCACCTCCACCACATAATCGCCCGGCCTCAGATAAACATGGTTGACAGATGGCTGGCTGGTTTGTACAGCTGGAGAGCCATCCCCAAAACGCCACCAAAACAGGACTTCTCTGGCACTGGGCAGCACAGATGCTTCAAATGAAGTTGTGCGGTTGACAAAGGAATCCACGGGCTGGATGGAAAGCTGCAGGATGAAATCTTGCACTTGGATCACTATAGTTATGTTCAGGCTGCTCAGACTGTTGAAAGCATGCAGATGGATTTCCAACTGGCCTGCTGTTTCTGGGGTGTAAGAGACACTTTGGCCCTCTAAGTGAACCTGGGAACATTGCTGCTCTTTTACTAAGGTGAACTGCCAGACGTAAGACACCTGTGAGCCACTCTCAATCCGAGCTGTGAACTGTTCCTCCACCGCAGCAGGCATTCCTCGTTCACAGCAATCGGTGATCTGGAGGCCACGCACGGCCTCCAGCACCACAATAAGATGCTCAGCGTACGCCACACTTACTTGATTCTCTGCAGTTACTCTCACTAAGTACTCTCCAACCTGGCTGAACTTATAGGTGAAGCTGGAAGTACTGAGGATCTCGGAATGGTTATACCCAATGGTGACCCTGTAGCTCACAGAGGAACCAGAAGATATTTCAACCACAAAAGAAACCAGTTCCCCTGGCTGCAGCACATCCTGGCTTACGCCGAGCTTCAGACCCTGGATTGCATCTTGCACCGTCAGATTGAGGTAAGCTACATCCCAGCTGACGTCATTAGAAGCATTCAAGCAGACAAGGAAAATTCCTGCCACGGGAAACTCTAGAGCTACCCTTTGGCCTGAGATGGTTTTGTCCTGCATCTTCCATGTCCAGAGTACGTCAGATCCTCTTTCAAGCTCCCCAGCAAAGTTCACCACGGTGCCCGATTCTACAGAACTACTGTTTGGCCTTATGATGCTAATCTCTGGGCCCACGACTGGCTCCTGTACGTATACCACAAGGGAAGCATTGACAGAACCAAACTTGTTTCCTGCCACCACAACAATGATTTGGGCACCTGGACTTGAGAAAGAGTGTGTGATGGTACTGGAGGTTGTGCAGAGAGAAAGGCCACCTTCAAAGTGCCAGGTGTACAGCAGCTCACTTCCGGCAGTTGCACTGGCACTTATGCTAACAGATGCGTTGACAGCAACAGGGTTGGGGGTGGCAGTTGGCTTTAAGGCACCCACCTCCTCAATGAACTCCACCGTCTTGTTCACAGCCGAGCTTCCCAGCATGTTGGTGGCTTTCAGATGGACAGCAAAGATGCCTGCTTCCAGAATGACTAAGGAGAATGTTTTCCCGGTAAATGTCTGCACAGGGTGACTTTCCTTCAGGACAGTCCAGCTGTAAGAGATGTTTGTTCCGTCTTTCACGGTTGCTTGTAGTTGCAGCGTCTTATTGGTGGGGAAGTAGATGTTGTCCAGGAAGTCCCCCCCACAGATCTGCAGCCCTTCTATCTGCTGTAAGACATAGATGAAGATGCTGCTCTGCAGGCCCCCAATCTCATTCTCTGCTGTCACGATCACATTGAATGTCCCAACAGAGCGAAAAGTGTAGGAAATGGTGGAAAGGCCAGGGATTGGGGTGCACCTATCGCACAGGATCCAAGAATACCGGACGGCAGTGCCAGCCAGGAGGGTAGCTGTGAAACTCACAGAGCCGTTCAGAGGCACCACCGTCCTGCTGGCGTTGATGCTCAGGCCCTGGAGGCGCCTCTTCACGGTCACATTCAGCTTTGCCTCGTGGAAGCTGACATCATTCCAGCATGTCAAACTGATGGTATGGGTACCACTCTTGTTGTAAGAATGGGTGATGAATTTTCCCAGCTGGGAAGTCCCATCCCCAAAGTACCACAAATAACTAACTTTGGTCCCGGTGACATTGGCCCAGAAGAGATAAATTTGGTTCAGCTCCAAAACCTTTGAGCTGTTTGACTCAATCTTGGCTACCCCAACCGGCTCCTGGACTTCCACTAATGCTGAGACATTGTTGAAAGAGACATTGTTGCAGACGGTCAACATGACCATATAGTCACCTGGACTTTTGTAGGTATAGCTCACTTCGGTTCCACCAAACCTGGCTGAGTCGTTAGTCCCAAAGTCCCAAAGATAACGGTAGTGATAAGGTGGCAAGGCTGTGACTTGAAATTTGGTCTCGTTGCCAAGCCACACCAGTTCTGGCCTTACTAAAAGTGTCACGTTGGTGATCTCGGGCTCCACACAAATCTCTGTATAATACTGTGCTTTGTTGACTTTGCTGGAAAGGACCAAAGACAGGGAGAATATTCCACTGAGGGTGAAGTTGTGTATCACTGTTGGATCACCATACACGGTGATGTTGGACGAGCCGTCACCAAATGTCCAGTCAAAAAAGTAGTTTTGGGGATTACCTGAAACGTGAGCTGTGAGCTGCACTTCAGGGTCTTCTCGGATACAAGAGGAAGGCTCAATCTTGAGCACCATCAGCACAAATATCTGGACGGGCACAGCTCGGGAAAGAGAATTGACTGGATTCATCGCAGTTACATTTACTGTGCAGTTCATCTCCTTTAAATAAGTGTGTTTTACAGATGCCACGGGAGTCTCCACAACCGTCCCATCACCCATGTCAAATATCCAGGTGATATTATCTCCTGTTTCCACAGAAGCACGGATCTCAATCAATGTGCGAAGCTCTATGGTTTCATTCAAGGACACCCACAACCCACTGATCTCTTCAAAGACCTGGTAATGCTGCCATGTCTCAACAGTGCTGATGGTGTTGTTTGCTTGAACCCGGACCTTGTATATCCCCCTGGAACTGTAGGTGTGGACTACGGCAGTCTGGCTTTCCACAAATGCCTCTGAACCATCCCCAAAATTCCAGGTGTAAGAGACTCCGAAGCCAGAGGGCATCACTTGAGCTTCAAAGGTGACAGTATGGCCCACAACCAAAACATCTGAGGCTACTTGCATTGCCACTTCTGTCAGGTGAGCATAGACATGGACAGGAGTTGAATAGGTGAGGTTCTCAAATTCATTGGAGACTACAACAATCAGGCTGTATTCACCTGCACGGGAAAATTACAGAAAAAAGAATCAGAATTGTTCATTTTCCCAATGGATCAGAAATCCAGGTCAGGATTAAAAATCAACATTGCTGAACTCACACAGTCCGTTATGCTCAAGCAGAAAAACCAGACCATGGTTTCATGGGATGGCCTGTTACCTCAGTACAAACTACCTAATCTCACTTCAGTCAGTCTATAGCAGAATGTCCAATCTTGGCAACTAAAACTTGTGGACTTCAACTCCCAGAAATCCCCAACCAGCATGCCTGACCAGAGAATTCTGAGAGTTTATCCACAAGTCTTAAGATTGCCAAGGTTGGGCCCCCCTGGTCTATAGCTTGCCAGGCAAACTCAACCAATGTGTATTTCCCCTCCTTTCAACCATGCCAGAAGTGCCACATCTTTGCTGAGCAGAAAGCCAGGAACTCTGATAAAGCACCCTTCATGCTGTGATCTTTCCCTTTGCCCCCAGGATGCATTATACATGGATGCAACAGCCTGAAACATAGTTTAGCCCAGGGCTAGGCAACCTTGACTCTTTTATGACTCGTGGACTTCAACTCCCAGAATTCCTGAGCCAGCATGGCTCAGCTTGGAAACCTCTCCCTTTCCCCTCAGCGTGGCTGGCTCGGGAATTCTGGGAGTTGAAGTCCACGAGTCATAAAAGAGCCCAGGCTGCCTACCCCTGGTTTAGGGTATGAAGATAGGTGGACTTCAACTCCCAGAATTCCCCAGTCAGCAGAATTTGTTTGAGATACATTAATCTAGAGCAGGGGTAGGCAACCTTGGCTCTTTTATGACTCATGGACTTCAACTCCCAGAATTCCTGAGCCAGCATGGCTAAGCTTGGAAACCTCTCCCTTTCCCCTCAGCATGGCTGACTCAGGAATTCTGGGAGTTGAAGTCCACGAGTTATAAAAGAGCCAAGGTTGCCTACCCCTGGTTTAGCTCTTCATGCTTGATAGAAAGAAGGAGGGCCTACTGATTTCTAAGAAATCCATTTTCTTCCCCTACTCCAGATGTTCTTACCTGGAATAGGGTTTGATTTGATTCTTTGCCTCACAAATGGCAAACTGAGATGACCAATAATTCCTTCACTACCCACTCCAGTCCAGAATGGGACAACTTGCTACGGCCAACTGACCACAGCTGACTCACCATGGGACAATTCAATGCGGGAGAATTCAAGAAAGGACAAGTGAACTGCACCCAGCATCAAGGACTTCTAACTTAAGAAGGTTCAAACCTAAAGCAAGACAAGGCCTGCTGCAATTCACTTGTCCCTTTCTTGAGTTACCACGCCTTGAATTGTCCCACAGCGACTTGTCTCACAGTGAGTTGGCCGGGACAAGTTAGCCACGGCGAGTTGTCCTAGACCAAGGGTAGGCAACCTTGGCTCTTTTATGACTCGTGGACTTCAACTCCCAGAATTCCTGAGCCAGCATAGCTCAGCTTGGAAACCTCTCCCTTTCCCCTCAGCATGGCTGGCTCAGGAATTCTGGGAATTGAAGCCACGAGTCATAAAAGAGCCAAGGTTGCCTACCCCTGTCCTAGACTCCTCTGAGCCACGCATCAAATTGCAACTATCCCTCGCAGTAAGGAAAAGACAGAATTGAATGGATGAATGCAAGGAGAAGGGAAGTGTCCATTACGGCACAAAGAGATCTGACTGAGCACATCTGTTTTTTTGTCCGTGGTCTTTTTTTTAAAGCTCAGAATTTGGAGCCAACATTTGGTTTTATTTTCAGGTTATCTGAGAAGTTCATCTATTTGTATTCTCATTTATTGACACTGAGTACAACTTCCCTTCCCTGGAATAACTTCCTCCATGTTTTCACTTGTCTCAATTTTGAAGGATTAGGAAGGCAGTCAAAACTGGATTATTTCAGCAGGCCTTTTCATTTTTTTGGGGGGGGGGAGGATTAATTAAATGAGACCCCCCCCAACCTGAGAATATATGATGCTCTGAGTTTTTATGACTCCTCAGCATTGGTATATTTAATGTTTATTAATTTATGGTTCTATTTCTTTAATTCTGTTTACACATAGCAGGATTATAAACTGCTCATAAATCAGTTATGAGAATAACACATACGTCTAATAAAATAATAAACCTGCTCAGCTCCATTGAATCTTTGCTTAGAAGAGCATACATGAAAAGCTCATAAAATTCTCCAAACTTGAAAACTGCATATACAATTTGATTGGCAGCACCCTTTTTCTAGACAAGACCAATCCCGAGGTTGACCTATGAAGTTCTACTGACACCTAACCAAGTGACTTGTACCTCTGGCTAATTCTGAAACTACATTTCTCATTAAGTGTGCAGTTAGAAGAGTAAACAGGATCAGGAATTCACAGGGAGATCAAAAATATCAAGAAGGTGGTTGCAACTGCACAAATGAAGCCAACGTCTTGGCTTTTTTGACTCATCCGCCACCGATGGCCCTGAACAGGATTCATCCATTTGTCCACCGATTCATCAGCAAGAAATCTGAGAGCTGTAAATGGACCACGGCTAATTATCAAACACAAGGATTTACATTTTATTTTTCATTTTTATAAGTAACTGCAAAATGCAGGTCAAGATCAAGACAGATTAAAAAGGGCTGCATTTGGGAACCCATGGCAAGCAGTTCTTGACTTGCGACTGTAATTGAGCCCAAAATTGAGCCTTGGAAAAATGGGCAGGATAGAATTTTGATAAATAAATAAAAATTACAGACATCAGTTGTGCTGGTCATTAAGTGAACACAGCGAT